TTTTCGTCGCTTGGCAACGACGTTGTAAAACAATCCCGCTCCCTCGGTGTTTGCCATCGGGATCGGGTTTTCGTCGCCTGGCAACGACGTTGTAAAACAAGCTAATTCACTTCGTGAACTCGGCAACCAGGTTACCGTTTGTTTTTTTACGTCTGTTTTTCTTTTGGCGGTAACCATAATGGTGGTCGAGTACATCATGTTGTGCGGGGTCGAGAACTCTCACTCCGCGCAAAGGGGATGATCGCACCACGTTGTGTTAAAATGGTCAAGCACCCTCGAGGCAGTTACACAGTGCTTACAACTGTCTCTGGAAGTGAAAGCACCAGAAAATAAATTAATTCATACGCAGCTGTCATCCGTACGCAAGGAAGTAAGCACAAGATGCCGAACACCCTTAGCAGGATGCAGCGCACCCTTCATGCGACTCGCCGAATATCTCACGGCGCTTCGCGCTTGGTGATGTGAGAGCCTGGTCCGGTGAGAACCCGGCGTGCTCCGTCCCGGCTTTGTAGGGATGCGAGGTCAATGGTCTAACGACTACGGCATGCACGACTATGAGTACACCCCACCCCTGCCCCGTCCTCTCTGCGCCTTCTAAATCGCAGGTTCACTCTCGCCTGCGTCGATGGTGCTGCAAGTCATCCCCTCGAACTTCCAGCCCTTGAGCTCGGCGAAACGCCTGTACATCTCGAACAGCTCCTTCGCGAAGGCGGCCGCCTCGTCTCCCCCGCTGCCGCTCCTCACTTCCAGGAGGGCATTCTTCGAATCCCCTTCGTCTCTGTGATTGAATTTAACCACAATCAATTGCGTCCGAATCGCATCATATTTAGGTTCTTCGTGGAAATCTGAATACGTTTATCAAAGGGTTACGGAGCTAGGGCAACATCTGCGTGTCCTTCCCCACTTTCTTCACCGATACTGTACAAGAACCAACAGGTGTTGAGGGAAGGGTCGTTTCGGAACAACCAACATATTTTACAACCGATACTACACTACACGTGAGAATCTGACCAGTATGACAGGGGCTTATCACCATCTCACTCCGATGACAGCGTTCGCGCGTGGTAGGGGGAACGGAGGCATCTAGCGGGGGGACGTAGTACTCGAAGGTTTACTGTAGCGCGAAAGGGCTTTGTTCTGATTTCTAAAGATGGCGTTTTCTTGCACGTATACCTGGGCAGGAGCAGACTCGTGAGGTCCAGCCTGAGCTTCTCCAAGGCCGCCGTGCAGTCGGCGTGCTCCTCTTTGGCAATGCCGTGCATCTCTCGGTCGGCCTCCGCTTCGCCCGCATTGGTCGCTTGCATCACCTGTATGTGCAACACGTTCCCGGCAGAGGCCGTTGCGCAAGGGGCACTCGAACGATACGGGGAGGCAGAGAGAGGCAGAGAGAGAGAGAGAAAGAGAGGCAGAGAGAGAGAGAGAGAGAGAGAGAGAGAGAGAGAGAGAGAGAGAGAGATAGACAGCATATGGGGCACGAGCGAAACGTAGGCACACAGAGGAAAACCCGAGGCGCACAACAGATGAAGAACCAGGGGGGATAGGTGTAACATTAGCAGGCGGGGGGGAAGGAGAGAAAGGCGTGCAGAAGTTCAACAGGCTGGGGGGAATAAAGAAAGGCTGCAGACAGATGGTCCGGAAGAACAACCAGAAGAGGACCGCGGAACGTAAAAACTCAACAGCAATCCTACAGCAAAGCTAGAGCTCGCGTCATGTGTAGCAGCACCGCATCAACAACTGTCGGCAGCAGAATCAGCTGAATAGGTCACTTGGTACCCCGATCGAAACAGCGTGCCGTACGTACTGCACATCAACACAAGGTGTTCCTTTGGCTGCTTCTGGGGATGCCCAGGGACGCCTGATGCCGTCCTCTCTTTTTCGTCATCTGCCTGGCGTTTGCTTGATTGTCTGCCTCTTGATTGCAGTCGTTTGATTGGCTACCTCTCACTTACTTGCATCTCCCCCCACGCACACAATTCCGATTCAGTCGAAGAAGAACAGACGCACGCCTACCTCCTCAAGGTCTTGGATTTCCGCGACCTTCTCCTCCACCTTCGCCTGCAAGTCCAGCACGGCTTCTAGCCGCCCAAGCTCCTTGCCCACGCTTCCCATCTCTCGAACCGGAACCTCTCCCTTCGTCATGCTCTCGACGATCTCTTGATGACGCCTGATAAAAAACACCCGCAAGCTTGAATGACCATTTACACCGAAGACGGCAATTTGGAACCCGGCTCTCGATCAGAAGGACACCTTTGGTTTAGAATTTCAAAAGATCTACTCCAGGTGTTGCCCCCTGGACATATGGCGATCTCCGCATGATTGGGCCATGGGATTGCGTTCTGGGTTCAGAGCACGAGATGTCATGGGTGCTTGAAAAACGAACTTGCTGCGTATCTAGCGTGATAATGTGCACCGTTACTTAGACTGCTGTCACCTCGCATCGTGGTGAATACGTGTGACTACTCAGCGTGCTGTAGCCGCCGTTGTGGCATTTAGTACAATACAAGTACACTAACTCTCGCTGGATCTACGGTACCGTGGGTATAGCCCATGGGAGCAGATCCGCCTTAGGTGAAGGGTACACATAACACTTGTACATGAGCCAAGCGAGCAGGTCTAAGACCCTCTGCACACGACGGCTGCTGTCTTGCAAATGGATTTCAGAGTGCATACATCGTCCATCTGTATGGAGCAGCACGCAGGGTTACGGTGTGCGTATGTGGAATTTACTGGAGTTTTGACGCTGACTGACTGTTGTTTGCTGCCAGTGCTGAGCGTCTAGAGTTAACGGTGCTGAGATGGATAGATTTGCTGCGACAGCAATGTGTAATCCCTTCTTCGTACCGCAACGTAACCCTGCTCTCTTTACACAGGCTACACACGAGGAACATCGGTAGTCTATGCTGGTTGTTGTATGTACATAGTATTTCCGCACAAGTAGAGCAAGTCAACGGCCATTCTAACAAATCAACTGAAACAGTCGCCCCCCTTCATCCTCACCCTTTCATCTGTTCCAGCCTTTGCCTCATGCTGTCAGGTAACCACGACGACGATGCTGCTGCTGCTGATGCCTCACCGCTCAAACCACGACCTTGAGCGGTAGCAGTAGGGCAGCAGCAGATGGGCTTGTTGTTCCTGGGCCGCTTACCGACCGTCGCCAGGCGCGGAAGAACCCTTGCAACACGCCCAGCCATGAGATGTGGATGTAACAGCAAGGACATTGTGCGCGGTGTGCTGTTTGAGAGCTCTCTTCCCTCTCAGCTCTGCTCTGCCTATGCGTCTTGGTGGGCGGCCAGCGGTCAGGTTACAATCAGCGGGACTGTCAGCTGTGCCGTGCGATGGGGGACCACGAACACGTCATACACCACTTTGCAGGGCCCCCGACCGTTACACGCCCGTGTCGCCGTTTCGTTCGCGGATCCAGTCATGACTGGTTGATGGTTCATACAGCTCGTAAGATTGCCTACGGCACGCCATGCAGCAAAATGATTGGAAGAAAAGTTACCGCCGGAACAAGGTTGGAATCAAGGGATGGATTGATGAAAACAGAGAGACAGAGAGGGTGCCAGAAAAAACACCAACGATCACGACACGGCAAGGATGGATTGAGCACAGGACCCGAAACAAGTATGAAACACTTTCGAACATGGGTCCACGTGCATTGATTTATTGCGGTTTGCCTGGTAATCCCTGGGCCCTCGCGCTTACCCCGCCTCACTCAACACTGCACGAGCTTTGCATCCACTGCTGCTGTACAGCAGTAGTACTGTAGATCAAAACAAATATATACCACTTTTATTGTAGATAATGCGAAGGGATTGACGTCAAAGAGGACCGGCGACCGCGCGGGTGCGACATGCGACCAGAGAACCGCGAAGCAATTAATTACCCAACCGCAGTAACAAATCATACATCAAGAAGCGATCCCCCACCACCAGCAGCAGTACATGTACCTGCATACGCAGCACGTACGACGCTGGAAGAACTGCAATAGAATCTAGGTCAAGATTTCATGGCAACGTGGAGAACTCCAACAACAAAAATTGCACGCGTTCTATAGTCTGTCCGGTTAAATTTTGCCACAACGTGACCCCCACTTTTTCTCGCTCATTTTTAGGAATTAATTGAATCGTGAAACAAAGTTGGCAAGAACCGCACGGTCGAGAAGCATCGAAATCCGGGGTCAAAAAAAAATCCGTGTATTTGGCCACTTTTTGGCGAATTTGACCCCCCCATGATCCCACGGGGCCCCCACATGCACTCACGGGGCCCCCAAACCCCCCCACGGGACCCCCATTCTCCCCGAAACTGCCTCGAAACGCCGACATACTAGCAGTTATTGAATGTGATAATATTTTATATTGATCGTGACAGCAGCTCCCCAAGCTATACTTGTCATAATGATAGCACCCTAACGTGAGATATCTAGATACATTAGGTCGATAACAAACACGCACACACACAAGGCCACCCTGTAGGCGGTCATCTTTGCCTGGGTGTTCGATCATCGGCCAACAATATCGCGGCGGCTGGTGCTACTGCGCTCAAACTCAGGTGGCAGCGAGTTTTGTCGCCATGAACCTCTTCAGCATTTTGTCGGCAGCCTCGTTAGAAACCTTCCTGGCCTCCTGCGCCGCGGCAAGGGCGGCCGACTCTTTGGCCTTGCGCTGCTCAGGAGTTGTCGCTTGGTCTCTTGGGGTGCCCGGTGCTGCTGTATGGTGTGGGTTATGGTGTTTCGTGTGTGGCTTTGTGTGTGTGTCAGCAGCACCAAACTTTGAGCGGCCATATTTCGCTCAAACGATTTTTTTTGGGAAAAAAAAAAAGTCCCTAGGTGCAGGTCCAATTCGCCCGAACCCGTTGAGTTTTTGGACATCGTATGGTTCAATACTCCCCACGAAACTAAACTCTGAGGGCACCTGAAATGCGGTTTTCTGCCCATATCTCCGTTGTTTATTAGCGAAAATAAAGCTGAGTTGTGTCGCCGTGAGCCCCTGGGCGTGATACGTTCAAAACCGGTCTAAAAAAAAATATATGACCTCACACTCGACCAAATAAAACTAACCAAAATCGTCCAAAATCTCCACGGAATCGTGATTTTCTCGCCAACAAAAAAAAAAAAAAAGCTCCATCCAAACGATCCGCCGGAAACAGAGCTTTCTTACGATATAAAGTATGTCACTAGGGGGTACGTCAGTCACTCAAAACAATTCCCAAGGTGATTTCAGGAGATGGTGGCAAAATTTAACCGGACGGACTCTACGAAGAAAGGCGCGCTGTTGCACCAACTCGGCGTTTATGCCCTCTTCGATGTATACATTGAACCGGCCGCGAAACCCATTTGTTCCCCCCCTCCCCTCCCCTCCCCTCCTCCGGTGTTTGCCATCGGGGTTGGGTTTTCGTCGCTGGGCAAAGACGTTGTAGAACAAGCCGATCACTTCGTGAGCTCGACAACCAGGTTACCGTTTTTTCTTGCCTTTGGCATTTTTTGCGGTAACCATACGTATGGTGGTCGAGTACAGATGGTGCCCGCACCTACGAATCTCTAGTTTAGGCCGAGGCTGGGGTTCTTGTCTTGCTGATCATCCTCTTGTGGGCTACAAATGACCACTATATAGGTTTAGTGTGGGGTTCTTAACCGAGCTCACAAGTGGTGCTCAAGTTCTTAGCTTCATTTCTTAACTGCTAAGTTCACAAGTGCGGGCGCTCTGTAGATATGTTGTGCGGGGTCGAGAACCCTCACTACCCGAAAATGGGGATGATCGCAGCACATTACGTTAACTTGGTCAAGTACCCTCGAAGCAGTTACACAGCAGAGCTTATACCTTTCTCTGGAAGTGGAAGCACCAGAAAATATAGTAAGTCATTCGCAGCTGTCATCCGTACGCAAGGAAGTAAGCACAAGATGCCTAACAGCCTTCGCACCCTTCAATCGACTCGCGGAATACCTCACGGCGCTTCGCGCTTGGTGATGTGAGAGCCTGGTCCAGTGAGAACCCGGCGTGCTCCGTCCCGGCTTTGTGGGGATGCGAGGCCAATGGTCTAACAACTACGGCACGCACGACTGACTGTATGTACGTGCGAGAAAGCCAACCGGCGACGGCGACGAAGCTCTACGTACTAAAGTAATCCCTAATCCCCCGACAAAACGAAAAGGGAACTGTCCCTCTCTCACCACCATCTGTTGTCATGTGATGGTGGTGCGGTACCGCCATACCGCCCTGCTGTATGATGATGAACAAAAATACATAAAGAGAGGAGTCGACAAACGAATTAGCGTACACCCGCCAGACGCAAGCCAAACATTCTCCGCACGTCGCATGACGAACGACGACGACGCTGTGCAGCAAGTGAGGTGCGCGCCAGTCTGGCGGAGGGTGTTGATCCTACAAAAAACGCAAGAGAACGAGCAAGACAGACAGGGGGCGGGCGTCGTGAAAATACCCCCACCCGAGACAAATACCCCCCCCCTCTAGACTCGTGACCGAAACAAGACAACCGCTCGTGCTCACATTTGTCTCGCAGTTCTTTCCCCTTATCTGTCTTTGCCTATGCAAGAGACTACGTCCCGATATTTCCTTCGGCACAACACAGTCAAACACGCAAAACGAAAACGGGAACAAGACCCGTGATTTCATGCACATAAAACATCAACAACAATAACAACAACAAAATCAACATGTGCAAGCAGGACGTCTGGTTCGCATACTCCCTGGCGGAAAACAGGCAGCACACACACACCGCACGGCGCGTTAAAAAATGAAAGAGCACACCCACCCAATCGAAAAGCACAAGCAAAAAAATACACAAAGCCACTGCCAACATGACCCCCCTCCGCGGGGGGCAATCAGACTTGAGACCCTCTCAAGCAGTGCAGGCAGACAGCCATATTTCTACACAACCCTAGAACACTAGTGATGAAGTCACGCTCCGTTCGGTCTCCTCCGCGGCCCCCCATGTCTCGGGGCGCGAATTAAAGTACGCAACTAGGATATGTCCAAGGATATAAATCTCAACGGTTACCCTCCCCCCCCTGCCCAGTCGTCGCACACACTGCAAGACACAAGTTGATTCGCAGCTGGTGACCCCGCTTAATACCTCGCTTCCTTCTTTCGCGCTGCGACTTGCATGTGATTTCAAGGCCTTTGCAAAACCTGTAGGTACCCCAGTCCCGACCGCCGCTGTCCCCCGTCTTGAACCTGCATACCCGCAGCTTTCAGGGACGGAATCGCCCCGCAGGCCTTTTCAAGGTCCTGGAACGTCGCAAACAACACACACATTCATCCACGGCGAAAGGGGGGGCAAGTAAACACGGTACACAACATCCTGTGAGGGAAGGGGATTCATTAGGACAGTTGAAACGAGATAAATAGGTTGAAAGACAAAAAAACAGATGGACATCGAGTCGACTGTCGAATTTTTTCAGGGTTTCGCAGTGGACTACAAAGACTTGTAGACTACGAAGACTTTTGCGACAGTATCGTCATCTTTTCGGTGTTCGACCGCGACCCGGTGTGATTGCTTCCCCTCCCCTTGTTCCAGCGTCGCTTTTTAACTGAAGCCTGTTGCGGACCACAAAATAGAGGGCTGGAAACTGTCCATCCAACACTACATGACCTCTTTAACCATCCAAACCTAACCCCCTTGCGCGAAAGAAAAAGGTGTTGTCGAGGTGCGCGAGGGATCGTGGCCAGCAACCTTCTACCCCGCGGGACGAGCATTCGGAAGGGCTAGGGCACCCACCAAACGTACAAAACGCACCCCCATCGACAGCGGGCGGGCACAAAAAAAGCCAACACCGAAGGTATGGATGGGATGAACTTTTCGTGAGACTCACCGCCGCGGTCGGCAACCGGTTGGGCACGAGCAACGGGTTCGACCGCCGCTGCATGTTGACGTTGGCGGCTCCCTTGGGGTGACTGATGACGATCTTGCCCCCCTGTACGGTGCCAGGCGCCAGACAACGCAGTAGAGCGAGTCAACGCAAAAGCCGAGGAATGGCAAGCAGATAAGGTGGGCTGGGCGAGCAGCAGTGACAGGTGGGGCGACAGGAGCAACAGCAGTGCTTGCGGGCAAGGCGGCAGGCGTCCGCCCATTGTTCCCTTCGAAGAGGTAAGAGAGAAGTTGTCAACACATGTAATGGGGGGGAAGTATGTAGAGAAAGACGGTTCGACCAGAACATGCCCAGAGAAGCTACTTGGTACCCTAAAGACAGTGCCACGACGCGTCCTCTCCGCGTGGCGTGATGGGGGGACGGCGGAGAGGGGAGGGTCACCCCAACAGGGGAGCTTACAGCAAGCAAGGGTGTTGATGCAAAATTTTGCGGCTGTGCAAAGAGGGAGGCTCGCCTGGTGTGTGTGTCTGTCTTTTACTTGCTAGCATCGACGGCGCTGGGCGACTGACCAATCAGAAAACGTGCGTGTGTGCAACACGGCTGTTGAAGAAATGGGCCCGAAGAACAGAAACTAATCAACGTTGAAGAGAGTGCTTCACGGCTAAACCACGATAAACCTCAGCATTTCTTGCCGAGCATCGCCTAGATGTACGCATAGTCCTGGTCCCACCTTCCCATTAGCAGCACTCCCGATCGGTGGTTACCCCCTGAAACGGGTTACCGGTGTTGTCCACGCAAGCCGTCTCGCCGGCTATTAGTTTTCGTTTGTGACGTTAGAGCCTGTGCTGGACTGCTGTGCCTCTTCCAGACTGTACCTCTTCCAGACTGTACCTCTTTCAGACTGTACCTCTTTCAGACTGTACCTCTTTCAGACTGTCATTCAGACTGATGTACCTCTCTTAGACTGTACCTCTTTCAGGAGTTTGGCCGCCCCCGACAGGGCCTCCCCGGGCTCGAGGAAGTTGTGGAGGCAGCCGTTGAAGAACACGTGCGAGAACCCTTCCCCGCCGGACGATAGGTGGTCCCCGCAGTAGTCAAGGAAGTCGGCCTGATTCGGGGTTAATGTTTTGCTGTTCTTTTTACGTTGTTGTTGATATTGTGCTTGATGTTGAATTGGTGTTGATGTCATGTCGGAGACGATATGGGGTAAAGGCGGGGCGAAGGGTGTGCCCGTAGCGCACAACCCATGCACAGCAGCCCAGCATGCTCATAATACACGCGCGCCTGCGCGTTGTGGTTAGCCTCGGAGAGAAACATTTAACATTCGGTGAGAGGGCGCACTCCAAAGCACAAAAAATGTTCACCAGGTCATCGCAAACAGTCATAGCGCTGAGCGGGCAGCCACGTGTAGGCAACAAACCTCCCGACACTGGACACCTTGAGAAAAAAAAGGCCATGGACAGAAAACGGTACACCGGGGGGGGGGGGGGGNTTCCCACAGGACCGATCACCGATGGCCAATCGTTCCTTCCTACTTTGCCAAAGGTGGCTCAACAAACGACATCACTTCCCGCCTTGTCAAACCACTTCCTATTCCCAAGTACAGCCACCGTCTTCTCCACTCTATCCCATGCCTCAAACATCTCCCTGAACCTCCCTTGTATATTTCCCAGCTCAGTCATGTACACTTGGGGGGGGGGGGGGG